CTAAGCGTATACGATGGGACTTTTGTCATAGAGTGTGCCTTAGGAGGAGGGTTATTCTCCACAAGTCTAAACAATTGGGGTGAGCACAACAGATGGCTCAGAGACAAAGATAGCTCTTCAAAGGTAGACAGTATTTCATATGCCCTCCATGATTTACACTACACAACAGTATTAGATTGTACTCTTCATATATCAGAATTTCTGAAGAATAACAAAGTTTGCTTTTGCAATCATGTGTGATTGATTCAATGTCTTTGGACTAAATCTTGGATTCGGTCCTATAAATACTAACAAACAAAGCAAGGTATCAAAAGAAAAAAATGAATATATATATATATATATATATATATATATAGTAATAATAAAAATCACATAGAATACTTTTCAAAAACAAAACGTCAAATCTAAAACACTTTCACAAAATTGAAAATCCTAACACCAATGCTCAAAAAATCCTTGCATGCACAAAATTCATGCACTCACAAATGTCCTCACAAATTTGTTACTTCTTCCCGACCAACACAAGCTTCGTGCATCTACAAATTCCCACAATTCTATCACTTCACCACATTTTGCCACCTTTCACTTCTGTTTGGATTGAATACCAAGTCTTCGGACATTCCTTCCGAACGGAGTGTAATTTCTTCACTTCTTAGGTTGGGCAACAATTCATCGGATTGTTCCTTCATAAGGTACATTTCTTCATTTCTTAGGTTGGGCAACAAGTTTTCAGACCGTCCCTTCCTAAGGTACATTTCTTCACCTCTTAGGTTGGGCAGCAAGTCTTCAGACTATCCATTCCCTATTGTGTATTTCTTCACGTCTTAGGTTGGGCAACAAGCCTTCAGACCATTCCTTCTTAATGTGAAATTTTGCACCTCTTATGTTGGGATACCACATCCTCCTGGATCTCCCTTCGTAATGTGCAATTCTTCACTTCTTAGGTTGGTCAACAAGTCTTCAGACCGTCCCTTCTTAAGGAACATTTCTTCAATTCTTTGGTTGGGCAACAAGTCTTCGGACCACCCCTTCCTAAGATAAATTTCTTCACTTCTTGATGTGGGAAACAAGTCTTCAAACCGTCCCTTTTTAAGGTAATTATTCACTTCTTGGGTTGGGCAACAAGTCTTCAGGCCGTCCCTTTCTAAGGTACACTTCTTCACTTATTGGGTTGGGCAAAAAGTCTTCAGATCGTCCCTTCCTAAGGTACATTTCTTTTCTTTTTGGGTTGGAATACCAAGTCTCCAAACCATCCTAACTAGGTAGTACAATCGCCATATCTGCTACCTTTTCCTCGTTCGTTCTTTGAGATGATTGTGAGTCTTTGTGTTTTCCATATCAACATGATTCCCTCACTAACCTAAATTTGAAATTTCCATGACACAAGGTTAAAATCAAAATCAAAATCAACACAAAGTAAATTGAATGCACTACGACCATTAGATTCCCGACAAGGAACCTTGATGGTTGCCCCTTTAAATTCATAAAACAACCCTTTATCAAGGTAGGAAAAATAAAGACCACGAAAAAAATTCACAACTTCAATTTAAAATGAGCTCATTTTTTCCCCAACAGAATTCGTCGAGAGATTGTAAGAGTGGAGGGAAAGTGAGAGATTTCTTCCTCCTTGCCGCTTCAAAGAGGAATTCTATGTGTTGTAAATAAAGGAAGAGATTCAGAGGAACTTTAAGGAGTTTTCTTGGGGAGAAATTAGAGATAAGTTTATTTATTGTTGTAGTTTCTATGATTTTGATTTTATATATGAATTCTAAGTTTTGATATATTTTTCCTATGAGATCTGAGTAGTTTTCTTTGTCTTTCTCCTTGTCTTGAGATTTGTGAAATGGTGATTTGAATTGGTTTGAATTGGAAATGGTGATTTTAATTGGTGAAGCCATAAAAATGTTTAAAATGATTGATCTTAATTTACTTTCAATCTGGTCAATTGATTTGTTAAAATATTTTGAGTTTTACAACTAAAGTGAAGATTACATCCAAGATTCAGGGAGGTCAAAGCCCTTGGAATTTGGGAGCAAATAAATAAGGAAATAAAATTATCGGGCGTAGAATTGGAGATTTTAGAGTGATAGACTAAAATCCTTAATTTGGTCCTATCGTTTGGGTCTTAAGTGTATATGTTAGCCCACAAGCGAGGGGAACGTGGGAGCTCCAAAGCGAGAGCTGGTATCCTCCCAGCCTAGCCGCAGATTCAGTAAGCAAGCGTAGGATTAGTCAATATTCTTTATGCCTCAACTAAAGGGTAAAGAATATGTATGCTCCTATTTGGCACAATATAATTTGAACTAATTCACTTTATACATCCACTATAATTTCTTGACAAGGAGAATGATGCTTTCTTATATATTGAATATCACATTCCAACCTTCATTAGTTTATTTAGTTATTTAATAGTTATTAAAATTACATATTTATTTCAATTACCTATTAGTGATAGATAAGCAAATTGAATTCCATTGTTGTGATTAAAGTATTGCCTTTCTAAAGTCTTAGTTCGTAGTTCTAATATTACTCCCTGTGGGATCAATATCTAGGACTCCATTAGAGCCCTATATTACTTGAGTGATACGTATAATTGCGTTGATAAGTGTGACTTTACAATTATTGAATATTTTATACATACATCTTTACCGATTCAATAAGTCAAATCACGATCAGAGTAACGGACAAATTAGGTTTATTAGAAAATTTTTACTTGAATTGCAACTTATTTTCATATTTCATTAATTGTTTTACTGTGAACTGATTTAAAATTGTATGCGTAAATTTCGACCTGAAAATCTTATACCCTATGATTCAGAATTAGAACGCACTGTTAGAAAGATTAGAAGATTGAGAATAGAACCTAGAAATTCTGATACAATAAAAAAAATGAATAATAACTTAGATATTAAAATAAATGAAAATAGATAATGGCCTTTAAAACATTGTGCTAATCCAACATCAGATGAACTTCTCTTAACTATTCAAAATCCTGATGTAGCTGCTAATTCATTTGAGATTAAACCTGCTACTATCCAAATGGTACAAAATAATTAATTCAGATGTACACCAAATGAATATCCTAATTTACACCTCACTAGTTTTTTAGTAATGTGTGCTACCTTTAAATATGATAGAGTCTCAAATGATGTTGTTAGACTTAGACTTTTTCCTTTTTCACTGAGGGATAAGGCTAAGATGTGGTTAAATTTGTTAGCACCAGGATCTATTAGAACTTGGGGAGAACTTTTACAGAAATTTCTATCCAAATATTTCCCTCCATCCAAAACTGCTAAACTTAGAAATGATATAACATCGTTCTGTCAGATTGATGGAGAGTCAATATATGAAGCTTGGGAGAGATTTATAGATCTTGTTAGGAAATGCCCTCATCATTCGTTACCAGATTGGTTGATAATTCAAACTTTTTATAATGGATTAGTGGAATCACTTAGATCAATTATAGATGCTGCGGCTGGTGGTCGTTAATGTCAAAACCATTTGATGAGGCTTATTCATTAATAGAAGAGATGACTACCAACAATTTTTGATGGCCCTCTCAAAGGATAAATCGTAAAAGAGTATCTAGTATCCATGATTCTGATGCAATATTTATGTTAGCTTCACAGATTGCTGCAATATCAAAGAAATTAGATCATTATGGAGTGAATTATTCTCCAGCACCTACTATGACGGAAGAGAATTCATCTGGGCAATTTATGGATGTACAACCTTCATATGAGACCTTAAATGCTCTTAATAGACCCAACAATCCATATTTGAACTATTATAACCCAGGTTGGAAGAATCATCCAATTTTTAATTGGAATAGCAATTCTTCTACAAATCAATAATGGGCAAACAACTCAGTGAACCCAT